TTTGTTTTTATGGGCAATCTTTGCAGCGAATGAATTTTTGAACGTCTTCTTTGAATCGACTCTACTCATGTCCCAGATAAGCTGTACAGATCGTAATAAATAAACGCCATTGTAAAAAAAAAGAAAACAAGTTTCTAACAACATATAGACGAATAACGTGTAATAATTCCCAGAGACACCTAAACAAATGCAAGGAGAGATTTGTAGCGAGTTGCGGCTTGACTTTTTGTTTTATCCTAGTAATGGTTACTGAATGGGGAATAACCAAAACGGAGGTTGGAAATTAAATGGTAAGCTTTATAACATCAGTAAAGTAAAATACTCGCCAGCGGCGTGAAGTAGGTAAACCACTGGTAGCGGTGGACTATATTGACAGCATATTACCACCACTTACAGTAGTATCTAACGTATTTATGAGGATTGGGACATAACCATTAGTGTTCATAGGTACGGTATATAACACTTTTTGATGGAAAATAAAAGGAAGGACGACACGAAAGAGATAAATATCTTACGAAAACAGGAAATAAATAATGTCAGCGGAAGAATGAAAAATAATAAGCGAAGGAAATAGGGAAGGAAATATAATGAAAAACTAAAAGAGAAAAGCGAAAGATACTTGAAGAAAAAAGACCCCCCCACACACAACAAAAGGAAATGAAAAGTTAAAAAAAAAAGGTTCTTTATCGTGGGAAAAGGTTTAACAAATTATTCTAGTTGCCAATCACTAATGTATGGCGAGTCTGACTCAAAATGGGAGCCCTAAAACATTAACCATATATTAAGCTAAAACCTCCTTTTGTTTTTAATCAATTCATCCCAAGCAAGGCGATAATGCCACAAAGACGCAAGGGGCTAATAAGTGTGAAAAAGAATTAAAAAAAAAAACTTTAAAAGAAACACGAAACACAATCCTAAACAGGAAACTAGGGATAAATCTCTACTCCTGTTCAAAACCCCGGGAAGAGATTGAACCGGACGATAGTCAAACCTATCTACTCCCATTGCGCAAAAATAAATTTTAAATAAAATTTAGAGTTTAGACGGAGACGTTAGACGCATAGAGTTGAAGTGGACTTTAGAAGGAACAGAAAACAAGGGACACTCCTCTAATCCTGGTCAAAAGAACGTGGGGGAGTGTCAACTGGACGATACGCTAGTCTATCTACTCCTATTATGACATATTATATTAGCTAAGAAACATCCATGCAGCCTCCTCATCTTGTGACTGAATTCAGCTATCCGTCTTAGGATTGAGGTCGGTGATCCAGCTGAGTCAATATGAAAAAATGCGGTTTTTCAAGCAGGCATGACATTTCATTTAGAAGACTGGCGCCGCGTAATCTTTATATCATCAAATGATCTCGAGAATAAATGTAGACCTTTGTTCTGCGTAATCACCAAAAATCCGGTGACCGAATAGGTTAGAGTGACTTCTGTAAAATCCGGACTGCCCAACGAAGTTAGTATTCTAATTTCAAGGTTTCGCTGGTTGCCCGAAAAAATATTTTCTTTTAGTAAAAGGCAAAATATGGAATAAAATAAAATGGTGAAAATGTTACACATACAAAAATGCAATAAGGTGAACTAAAATCAGTAATAAATCATTAATAAATAATATTTTTTCTTTTTATTAAATGTTCACATTAAAAGATCCGGTAGCCATTCAAGGTCGATGATTATCAAATTGTATGGACTTAGGAAGAAGACGTAAATTTGCAGTAAATGCAGAATTTGAGGATACACACGATAGACAATGGTTGAATCTAGATATGAAGCGGTTAAGTTTGTAGTGACCGGGTAAATATAACCCCGGGAGTTTGTTTCATAAAGTAGCGTCTCTTGGGAAGAAGTTGACCGGGTCGAACTTCTTCGTACCACCAGAATACGAAGAGTATGTGCATGGTTCACGCCTGCGTACACTGCATAGTAAAGTCCTTAGATATAAAGGTCTGAACTGGTGGGTCAAGGGAATATAGCTGATTAGAACCTTTTTCATAGAAATGGCAATGGATTACCGAGAGGTTTGCTTCAGTGGGAGAAATGTCGTAGCGTGGAAAGTAATTCATCACCTACATCGCCCAGTAAACACTTTTGAACTCTGTCAAAACTGAAAAACGAATAGGCCCAACACAGATATGGCATTGCAATACGCGTTTTTTTTTCCTGATATAATTCTTGTAAAGATAGAAAATGTCGGATGTCATTTTACAAGTATTTTTCGCGATGGATCGTATCTCTCTCTCTCTCTCTCTCTCTTTATATATATATATATATATATATATATATATATATATATATATATATATTGTGTGTGTGTGTGTGTGTGTGTGTGTGTGACTCGTTAGGTAAACAATCCGAAGTTCTTTAGTATTTTGTTTTTTATTTTAAAATATTTGAAACATGAGAACTCTTATGTAGCGAAGGAATCATATTTTAAATAAGTAATTATACATATATATATATATATATATATATATATATATATATATATATATATATATATATGATGGATTCTCCTGTCGAATTCAACGTATGAGGTTCCGGCGAACACGAACTAATTATCTGCATGCCTACGACAGGCACGACTTTTGAGGCCGACTCGAGAATTGCACAAAGGATCACAAACAGTACAGGAGAATGTAGTGTATCCAAGGGCAGCAGGAAAACTGTCTCATTTTGCTTTCTCGTTTCATGTAGTTGACTGGTGGTTATATCTCGCTGCAGCTATATTAATGAAGAAGAAGAAGAAGAAGAAGAAGAAGAAGAAGAAGAAGAAGAAGAAGAACTGCCTTTCAGGACTGACGGGGTGATATGAGAAACATCGGGGCCGGTGTCAAAAGCTTGTTTTTCTTTACGTGAGAAGGTTGAGGCAACCAAGGCAACTCAAGAATCACATTTAGGCGCTTTAGAAACTCTCATTCGGAGACCGTCTGAACGGAATCATTTACCCGACCGGAAGCTGTCTCAAACTGGCTCACACATGCAAAATGATGCACTGATATTATGAAAGAATATCACCATATCGTGTATATTTGACTGATAAAATCTTAACAGGTTGGATATAATAATAATAATAATAACAATAATAATAATAATAATAATAATAATAATAAAAATAACAATAGTAATAATGAAGAAAGATCTTCAAAAAAGCTATCAAAATACAAGGACATTGAAATCGAAATCTCAAAAATGTGGCACATGAGAACATCAATAATTCCTGTTGTAGTTGGAGCCTTCAGATTGATTGGAAAAGATTCCAATAGACTCATTCAAAGGATTCCTGGTAGATACCCCCAATAACAGAAAAAAAAACGCATTTTACATAGATAAATCTCATCGTAATGTGTGGGCTGTACTCCTGAGAACAATCAACGTCTTAAAGAAATACAAAAAATTGTTCTCACGAGTACAGTCCAAACCTTACGAAGGGCTTTATTAATGCAAAATGCGTTTTTTTTTTTTAAATTGCTCAGTGAACTGACTTTAGGCCTCTGGTCGGGGATCCGGAAAGAAATGAGTACACAACAGAAATCAAAGGAAATAAAATAATAATAATAATAATAATAATAATAATAATAGCAACAGCAATAACAATAATAATAATATCATTTGAGTGAATAATATTTTGAAATCACTCTAGGTAAAAGTGATCGTCCGAAATAAAATGATCTTTCTTTATCACGTCGACCGCAGTCGAGATAATGAGGTTATTTTGAACTCCGCAGTCGTTTTGATTACTTCATCGTAACAACTTAGCCACAGCTACATACGACTTTGAATAAACAGTTATCATTCGACTAGACTGGTTGCCAACCATGGCTAGACAGACCGGAGATAATTAAAATTACAGTCTGTGGTAGTGAGAGTGTAGAAGTAAATTTTCCTACGGGAGGTCTCAATTTTGCACAGACACGTATTGAGTCATTTCTTTAGGCTCGTCTAATGCACCGACAAACACGGTAATTAAGGTAATAAAAACAATAAAACTTTAGTAAGCTGGAGAAAGAGAAAAGGCAATATATTAACACAATAATAAGCAGAAGAAAGAAATAAGAATACAAAAGAAGAGACTGCGCGCGTGAAGGCCGGGCTTAAGTGTTGATGTGACAGAGAGAACGAGAAACCGGTAGAAAAGTGTTTACTTCGAAACAATGGCGCTTTGTAAGCGGGGTTATAAAAACTACCATTGTGAAGTAAAACACACACTTGACAAAAAAGTTTAAATAAACAACATAAATAATAGCAGGGAATAAAATAAATAAATAAGTAAATAAATATCAAAATAACACACAGGGAAATCCAAAACAAATATCACAAAACAAAAAAAAAAGGCCTTGTTGATTAATTACTCTGTCTTGTGGTTGAGTTAGCTAAGATAAAGATGGCAGCCAAGGCGGAAGTGGCTAAGACATCCGTCAGTGAAGACAGATAATGTAATCGAGTGTAGTGATCGTGTGTGTGTGTTTGCGTGTGTTTGCGTGTAAGTGTGGTGGGGGAGTGAAAACAAGTGCTTAAGTCAAAGTCAAAGTGACTGAGTAGATGACCCAATCACAGTGCTTATTTTTTTAAAAAACATTCTCAAAAATATAGGAAGATATTGTCTTTACAAGGATAAAGAAAGGAGAGGTGGAGAGGCAAGTGAAGAGACGATTGTTGAAGAGGGGAAAAAAGAGTGTAAATGTGGAAGAAAACATCAATAATGAGCCAAATATGAAACACTGTGTGGATCAGTGGTGAAAAGTGAAAAACAGAAGAGGAAATATTTCCTTACAAAAGAGGGGAAACTTTACGTACGACTTTATATAAGGAAAAAAAGTTCTTGTTATGCATCGGTAATGTCGAAGATAAAACAGGTTTATTGAAAGAAAAAAAGAATACATAAGGCAAGGACGATTAAATGTAGAATGGATGCAGAAAAAAAGTATAGGAAGGAAACTCAAAGAAAGAAAAATGATGCATGAGACTGAATGAATAATCGAAGAAAGAAGAAAAATCTAGAAGTTGGCGGATGAAAGGTAAATCGGAAAAAGAAGAACAACAATAGGTTGAATGAATAAATGAGTTAAAGAAAGAAAGAAAGAAAGAAAGAAAGGAAGAAACGAGCGAAGACGGAGATAAAAAGAAAAACGGTCAGTCGAATGAATAACTGAAAAAAAGCAAGCAAGCAAGAAAAAGAGAACAAACATATGAAGAAAGAAAAAAGTACTGAAAAAAAGTAATTGGAAAACAAAGACAAGCAGTAGAAAGAAAAAAAAAAGGTAGGAAGGAAGGAAGGAAGGAAGGAAGGAAGAATTTAGACATTTCAGATTCTTGTAAATAAAAGAGTAGGCTAAAGGAATAAAAGAAAGAAAGAAAGGAAGAAAGAAAGAAAGAAAGAAAGAAAGAAAGAAAGAAAGAAAGAGAGAAAGGAAATCGAACAACCATATAAAGAATATAAAAATACTAAGAGAAGGAAAATTGGAAGAAAAAGAGAAAGAAAAAACTGCAGAAAGAAAGAAAAAGGAGAAGAAGAAAAAAAAAAGAAAAGATAGATAAAAGGAAGGAAGGAAGAAAAAAGAAAGAAAAATGAACGAAAAGAAAGAATCTGAGGAAAGATAACTGAATGGTGGCTCAGAGGAAAAACAGAAGTGATACGTCGAAATAATAACTGAAATGATCAAAGAAATATTTTGAGCAAAGAAATCCAGTGAAAATTTTAGAGAATAAACCAAAGAAAATGTCAATGGGAACATTTATCTTTAGAATATATGCAAAATCGAAGATAAATACTTTTCCCACCCACTAGTCTCTCATGTGCCGTGTCAACTATTTCCCCAAAACATTTTTAAAAATTCTTTATACAGTGCAACCCGGATATAAGTTGTCGGGACCGGAGAAGAAGTCTCTTATATCCGTGGTTCTCTTATATCCGGCTTTGATCTATTTTATATACATTAACACAGGCTCTAATTTGGGACCAGAGAAAATCTCTCTTATATCCGGGTTTCTCTTATATCCGGGTCCCTTATATCCGGGTTACACTGTAATTTGATATTTTAAGGAGTATTGCATTAGTTTTTCTTTTAGTAGATAATTTTTTTTAAGCGTTTCACCCCAAGCAAGGCGGGAAGCCACGAGAACGCAAGGGGTCACAGAAAATTTGGAGCAAGATCAGATAGGAGTAATAGAAGAAAGGATAAAGAGAAGGGTAGTGGATAGATCAAGGCAACTGGAGATCTCAATTGACATTACATTTGAATAGCTGGAGATTATAGCTCTCAAGGAAACTGGAATAGAGAAGGGAGTTCCACAGGTGAGAGGTGCGAGGAAACGGCAACATTTAGGAGTTTCGACAGTGAAGGGGTGAGAGCGGGATGCCAGCCTCGTCGGGCGCTTGAACTCATGAAGTCTGGGAACCAGCGAATGCAGCTCCTCGGAGCAATTTCCATGAAAGTATTTGTAAAACAGACAGAGAGAGGCGACAGTGCGTCTGTGAGAAAGTGTCTGTAGACGAGATGCCAGATCAGGGCCAATTATATTGCATATCCGCCTCTGGAGCCTATCAAGAACCCCGAGGCAAACAGAAGGGACTCCAGACCATATATGGTAGCTATAATCCATGCAAGGGCGAATTGTTGATTTGTAGATCTGGAGGATCGATTCCGGGGAGAAAATTTTTCTGGCGCGGCACAGGGAACCAACTTTAGAGCCTTAGAGTCACTGACACATGTATAATCTCCACAAACTTTTCCCTCAGACAATATGGTGTGGTCAATTTTGTTTAGCGGCATATCAACCTATGGGTTATTTCATGCCGAAATCTAAATATTTTGAACATAGTTTTATGCCTTCAACAACACATAAAATGTATTGTTGGTCACTTTAATATAAATAGGTATTTTTATACGTTCATAGTATTTTGTTTTTGTTTATGGCGTTCACTATTTGTCCTTAGCTGGAACCCTAATAGGTGCTAACTCCCCAGGTCTGGGTGAACCTGGGAACGACACAAATTAAGAGGTGCTTCAACGTTCCTCAAGACCTCTAATCTCCCGATCAGAGGCCTTACTGTCGGACATTTATTGTCATATCCAGGCCTAGTGTCTTAATTACACGGATCTATAAATCATGGCGACTGGAATTATGTTAATTTGATTCTGTAGCAAGTTATTGAAAGATTAAAGGATTTTATACATGTTAGAGGAAGGCCATAGAATGCCATTGACTGAAATGTCTCTTTCGATCCCCAAACCCAGAAAAAAAATCTCAATGAAAACTAAAGATGACACCTAACAACAAAAGTCTACCTTAAAATTTGGAGACAAGTAACCTTTTTGAAACAACTATATTGGATCACCTTTGAATAAGTCATAGAGTAAAGATTAAAGTCAGGCCTGTTAGCAAGAGGAGTTTCGCCAAGAAGGGACATGGTGAAAACGATAGAATCGAAGCAAAAATGAGACAGATACTTGATTAAATAGTCTGTGGAATAATGATGCTCACAGAGCGACCCAATAAAAAACGCTGCAACTTCCCGCACCCCCCCACAAAAAAAGAGAGAGAGAGAGAGAGAACCTTGTCCGAAAAGATCATAAGACAAAGACAATTCTTCATTTCAAATCACCAATGATGGCCAGTGACATGATCAAGACCATAAAGGTGAAATACGCTGAAAAGTCGAAGGCGAAAGCTATTAATTAGTCCAATATGGCAGAAGTCCCTACGCAAGCTCTTAATAAAACCGCAAAATATATTGAAAAAAAAAGGTTCGGTGTCCTCATTTCACGCTGTGGCCTTTCTTTATTATCTTTCGTTTCTTTATGAGATTACAGCTCCCATTACTCAGTCTGTGGTGCACAGCGACGCGAACAAGAAGGCAAAAGATAACGATTGACATTGCATTTAAAATTTTGAAAATGCAAACTTGACTGGAAAGCAAGAAGTCGAAAGAGAGTTCCACAAGCGGGAAGTGCGAGAGAAGAAACAGTTAGCATAGAATTTACGGTTAAATCTAGCCATTGCAACAGTAAGATGCTCAAGAGTTTTGCAAAGAGATGGTTGTATATTTCCCATATCTGGTAGTCGCAAGTGATCGAACTGAAATTAAATTCAGAAAGTAGGGTGATACTTTCCCTACAGAAAGCCCCAACACAACGTGAAAGTTTGGCGCTGTATAATCTTCTTACATCCATCAGACTTTTTTATGACGTTCCACGCTATTGAATCATTATCATCAAACTATGGCCACAGCTAGTTATTTGGCTTATATTGTTCAGAATTTCCAGAAAATTTCCAGTAATAATTCACTCAAAGCTAGAAAAAATACGTATTTTGAAAAGATGATTTTTACACAAGAAGGCACTTTCAACGTGAATATAAAAATAAAAAAAACAGCTCTCAACTTTTCATAAGAACGTTCTCTTAACGGCAATTAAGAAAGTCCTCTCAATATCAATTACGAAAACAACTCTCAACGTCAAATAAGAAGGGACTCTCAACTACAGATACGAAGGCACTCTCAACGTCAAATAAGAATACACTCCCAACGTTAAATAAGAAGGCAATCTCAATGTCAATTAATAAAACAAATAATAAACAAATAAGAAGACAATCTCAGCATCAAATATGAAGCTACTGCGAAGTACAAATAAAAAGCAACTCTCGATATCAAAAAAGAAGACACTTCCTATTTCAAATAAGGACGCCCTCTTGATTTCAAATAATAAGTGCTACCGAATAAAAAAAAATATAGTCTTTACGATATCAGAGAAAAAAGAACCTCTGATCTAGAAATGGTGCCCAGTGCCAAACATTTAATCTAAAACCTAGTTTAAAAAAAAGGACCTCCTAATTTCACGTAAGAATTTTCATTTCAAATAAGAGAGACCCCACCACTTAAAAATCTTCATTTACTTAATCCATTTGGCTTTATGCCAATCTAAGCTGAGCTCGTTAAATAACGATTAAATAACTAATGTTTCTGATGAAATCATTTTTAGTCGCAAAAAAAAAAAAAAAAAAAATTCTCATGCTATACGTAGATTAAAAATACATAAAGTGATTTACAGTTTATAATATCTGTTTGCTTTCTTTTTCTAATGACACATTGTGAAAATCATTATATATTAAATTTCCTGATATGACAGAGAATGGCATAATCATAGTGATCGTGGAAGTAGAAAAATCATTTCTTCGCAAAACTCCCTTATATATATATATATATATATATATATATATATATATATATATATATATATATATTTATTTATTTCCATCACATTTCACCACTTTTCGGTCAAATATATGAAGTACGAATTCAGTTCTGATTCAATAAATTTTTGATGATGTTTTTTCATAAATGTATTGCCAGAGTTTAAGTGAAAAGAAAAATTGCGAATGCTGATTTTCAAACCGTGACCGTGTTGTAAGATAAGGGTAGCACAAACTTTCATTTCATTATCTTGTTTCGTAATAAGCTAAATTTGGCATCTATCTATCTATCTATCTATCTATCTATCTATCTATCTATCTATCTATCTATCACACTCTCTTCTATGTATCACTTTATATATGTCATTCTTTATCTATGTCATTTTTTTTATCTCATTTTTTTTATCTATCTATCTATCTATCTATCTATCTATCTATCTATTTATCTATCTATCTATTTATCCTAGCATACATTCATATATATATATGTGTGTGTGTGTGTGTGCGTCTGTTTGTGTGCGTGTGTGTATGTGTGTGTGTGTGCGAATAACAATATATATATATATATATATATATATATGAAGAAAAAAATATACGGAAAAACAAACAAAAAATCCTAATATGCAATTATGCTGTTTTAATGTTAATATAATTTTCCGTATATTTTTCTTCATACTGTCGGATCCATATCCATATATTTCCTTACACACACACACACACACACACACACACACACACATATATATATATATATATATATATATATATATATATATATATTCTAACTATGTAGAGTTGTACATTTGTTTTTCTTCGAGAGATAATACTGGGAGTGTTCTTAAAAGAAATAACAAAAGTGCGGTCATTGATGAATAAATTTCGTTTGTTACTTGAACATCTACTCAGGTTTTTGCCCTTCTTCCTGTTTTTTTTTTTTTCTTTTGTGATAAGTTTGTTCGAAAGCAAGACAAGAAAATGGCGCTGATGTATGACTGTCACAAAAGATAAGTCTTACCGCCCTGGTCACCCACTGTTAGCAAACAACCTGGTTACTATCAGCCAAATGTCACCATCGTCTCCTATCTCTTTCGTTGTTTTTATTGTTGACACGATTACAATTTATTTGTGTATTTTATATTACGTTTTCTGAAACAGTCAATAAAGTTTTTTTACTTTTCTATTGTTGGCCTTTAAAAAAACAAGTCCCATCGCTTATTATTCATTTTCTCGATTATTTCTTCCTTTTTAGCAGGTGCTTATTTTGTCAAACAAATTCCATGATGTTCCTTTTAGCTTCAGACGTTTCCTTTTCTTTTCTTAATTTCCGTTCTTCTTTTATTCTGATTTCTTCACTTCATCATATTTTCATCATCCGCTGTTTGTATTTTATTTACTTTTAACTGTTTTCAGATTACATAAATTATTTAGATAACGTAATATATGCTAAATCAAAAGTAACTTTCATTATGTCAGATATGGTTTTATCATTAGAACCATAATCACAATTTGTTATTTGTTTATACTAACCGCATATCTATTCAAC